TATATATTGGGGTTCCTAACTTTTGCTCCTGAAAGTATCACATTTCCAAAAGACTAATGTAAGAATACTATATTTTCATCTACATTGCAAATGATAATTGATAGTATTTTTAAATAACTCAGTGGAACAAAGAATAATGAACATGACTGATGGTCTGAGCTTCAGAGTTGTTTTAAGCTTTTTGGAAGCTGGTGGTGTAGTTCTCCAAATGTTATTTATGGACTCAAAAGAACTTGCTTACCTAAATCATCATTTATGCAAGCAGAATCTTTTTTTATTAGAACCCTTATGGCAGTTTTATAATGATAAAACTACACAATTGGCTTTAGCTAATTAATTTGTAAATCATCCTGGAAGTGAAATAAATTGGATGCCTTGCTGTAACAGAAGACCCTAACTACAATTTTTTTAGCATTGAAATTATTTTCAGAATTCCTAATATTTTGAAATAAATTGCCCCTCACTTATTCTTCTTATGAATATATGCACAGTTATATCCACTAAATATATGTTCAAATTCCTAATACAGGAGGACAAAGATTATGTCATAGGCATTGCTGAAACTTGCAGGATGACATCTGCCTGGAGCATAGACCTGGAAGGCTACTGCTTATTTTAAATACTATTAGGGAACAAACTCAAGAAAAAACTGCAGACAAACAAAGCATATACCTGCAAAGAAATATACAAACTGGAAATTCCATTGAAAGTATTTTTGCAAAGAGAAAAGAAGCAAAAATGACATCACAGTGGAAATTTATTATACAGAATACAGAATAACAGACTTGGAAGGGACCTTGGAGGTCTTCTAGTCCAACCCCTGCTTAGGCAGGAAACCCTACACCACTTCAGACAAATGGTTCTCCAATAGCTTCTTAAAGACTTCCAGTGTTGGAGCATTCACAACTTCTGGAGGCGATTTGTTCCACTGATTAATTGTTCTAATTGTCAGGAAATTTTGCCTTAGTTCTAAGTTGCTTCCCTCCCTGATTAGTTTCCATGCATTGCTTCTTGTCCTACCCTCAGGTGCTTTGAAGAATAGCTTGACTCCCTCTTCTTTGTGGCAGCCCCTGAGATATCGGAACACTGCTACCATGTCTCCCCTAGTCCTTCTTTTCATTAAACTAGACATACCCAGTTCCTGCAACTGTTCTTCATATGTTTTAGCCTCCAGTTCCCTAATCATCTTTGTTGCTCTTCTCTGCACTCTTTCTAGAGTCTCAACATCTTTTTTACATCATGGCAACCAAAACTGGATGCAGTATTCCAAGTGTGGCTTACCAAGGCATTATAAAGTGGTATTAACACTTCACATGTTAATAGCCTATCTTGAGAGGCGGAAAATTTGGGTGAAGTCTTTCTGTTTAAGGTGACCAAACTTTCAGAGAGCCACACTGCAGTAATAATGGGAAATTATAACTTCCCTGACATTTGCTGGAAATCTAACCCTGTCCAGAGTCAAAGTGCCAGAAAATTCCTGACCCATCTTGCTGAGAACTTCATTTGTCAGAAAGTGGAAAGAACAAGGTGGTATGCTTCATCCTTACCAATAGGGAGAAATTGATTGAAGAAGTGAGGGTGATGGAAACTTTGGGGGGAAAGTGACCATGGTATTCTTCAGTTCATGATATCAAGGAGAAGAGGAACAGAAAAAAAAACCCAGAACTGTATATTGGATTTCAAGTGAACTCAGATAGAAGGTAGTTTAAAACCAACGGCTTGAAATTCTGACAGAGAAAAATGCAGGAAAGATGGAAAATCCTGTGAAGCAAAATACTGAAAACGCAATTGAAAACAATTTTACTAGGAGGAAAAATGAAAGATATCTAAAGAGATCCCCAGTGTGGATATATGGGGAGCTTTCTAAAATGCTTAAACGAAAAACAAAAAAACATGTATAAGAAATGGCAAGAGTGGCATATGTGCAAAGAAATAGACAAAGCAGTGACTGTAGGAAGTGAATCAAAAAGGCTCAAGTGCAGAATAAACTGAGCAAGAAATGCCACAAACAAGCAAAAAGAGTCTGGAGTGTATGCCACAAACAAAAACAAACAAACAAACAAGCAAGCAAACAAGACTGTTTGTTTGTTTTTGTTACAGAGGCTGTAATTCTGTTGTCAGGAAAAAGGAAAGGGGTGAATGGGCAGTGGGTGATTGCAGAAAGACGTGCTTTAGGTCTTATCCCAGATGGAAAACAAGGTGCTAGCTGGCTTTTGTTTCGCCAATAGTGTGTACAGCTGGCTTAGGATAGACAAGGATAGGTGCAAAAGACATTTAGCTAGTTCTTAGCTTGTGTGCCACTTAAATTGAGACGCTGTACAATTCCTTTAATTCAAAGTAAAATTAACAGAGCCAGCTGTCCACTCTGCAATTAATATATAATTTGTTGCTTTGTCTTCCATGTGATTGTGTATCACTTTATTTTCAGCAACTGCCAAATGTCCAAACATCATTTTCCTCCCCTTCCCCCTCCTTCTCCACCCTCCTCTTCTTCCCTCCTCCTCCTAACACTGTGGGTGCCAGGGATATCAAAGACCGAAGTGTTTTTTTTTTTTAATTGCTAGGCCTTCTTTTCTAAGGATTCATCTATTAATATTAATAAGTATCACTATAATGACCATTCCTTTTCTCCTTCCCATTTGGTAGTTTCAAGGATGTACACATGTAAATAAGGGGAGGGGCTTTGATCACATGATTGTGCCTGCCTTCTCCTTTTCCCCTCACACCGTCTCCCATGCATAGATACTGCTGGGATGTGTGCTTATTCTGGCAAATGGAATAGTTCTTTCCAGGGGGAGCGTGAAACTAACCAAGAGCAAACAGCCAAAGCCTTGGCAGGACCAGTCATCTCATTAAAAAGGATCAAGCAACTGCCCTTGGAAGCAGGCCAGATTGGTTGTGAATCAGAGTCAAGATTATCACTTGCTGATCCCTGAAATTGCTCCCCAGAGCAACTGTTGCATTAGGTTGAAGGCCAGGGTCATCACTCAGTCAATTCCTCTGAGGCCTCATGCAGCATGTAGGTTAACTGATGTCAAACTGCCCCTGTTCACATCCTGCAGAGCTGGCAAAACCAAAGGAGCAAGAGCAATACAGATTTCAGGAAAGTAGCTTTCATGCTTATTGGTGGTAAATAAACTTTGCAAGCTGAAATAGAAGTTTCCAGTCTCAGTTATAGTGAGTTAATTAAGGTAGAGCCTCTTTGAAGCCCTTTTCCCAGAATTTTCATCATCCGGAATGAATTGCTTCTAATCATGAATGTCCCTAACTATTAATTCTATTTACAGCAGAAGAGGCTGGGCTTGTAAAATGGCATCCAGAAGCCCCACACCACTGGGTGGAGCTGGTCAGCTGATCCTTGGAAGCTCACCCCAAGGTTCTAAAAGAGGCAGGCCCAACAAAATGAATTCATAGATCACAGGTGTCAAACTTGCGGGCTCACGTTGCCATCATGTGACGTTTTGTGATGTTTTTCCCATTCATGGGCTAGATGCGGGTGACACATCCAGCCCATAGGCCGCCAGGTTGACACCCTTGTCATAGATCACAATTCAACCCAGACTGATTGATTTTCTTTTTTTTCCCATTGATTTTTGCTACTCCAAGAAACATTAATTGTTGTCTTGATGTAATTGAGGCTACTGCTTAAAATAATAATCCAACGATTCAACTATTCTGCAACAGATTTTGCCCTCTGGCTGTTAAGATGTCTCAAGAGACCTTCTGACAATTTTTACTGAAGAAGATTTTTCTATATTAATAAAGCATCATTTTGTTTTCAGGCATTTTCTACTTCTGGTATGCCGGTTTCCAGTTAGCCACGAAGCCACTGTCAGTCTGTACTCAGAAAGGACCTTCATATTGCCAGAGCTACTATTGCTTCTTTTAAAAAAACATGTCACCAATTCCACAGAGAACAATGGTACCCAGTACAGCTCTTAGTTCTCTGCAATCTCCTATTGTACTGCCTTGTCAAAGGACTAGATATAATGCATCTTCAGCAAGCCCAGGATAGCAAGCTTTGTCTCATTCAGTGGTAAGTATGCTTATGTGCTGATGGAAACAATTGAATCTCCCACATAGAATTAATGTGGTAGAATATCATGAGAGGGTAGATCCCCAGTAGGGAGACGGTGCACTCCAGAGAAGTAAGAGGCAACTCAGCCCACATATCATGTGTGAGAGAAAGAAGGTAAAGATAATCTCTTTCTTATAGTAGAATTCTCTGTCTGACAAGATTTTGTCTGTAAGTCTGAAACAATAGAGAACTAAGCCTGAAAGAACTTACATATGACATGCTTGGTTTTAGGCCTGACAGATAATGATGAATGTTCCCTGCTTTCCATGAGAGATCAGTTGTGGAAGTAGGAGTGAGAACTTCTATAATGTACCCTTCACACAGTTGTACTAGCAGAGCTATGGTGTAAACTGATCCAACTACGACAGGCAGAAGATCCAAATGCCAGATGTGTCCTTCCAGAAATTGTACTTGGCTGAAGGGACGAACAGGTGCTGCAGCAACTGTTCTCTGCGATCCTCAATGAAGACCGTGTGATGAAGGATGACAGCATAAATGTCATTGTCATTTGCAATGTCATTTCGATATACACAAACCACTGGATGCTCCTGTATAGGACTCTGCATCTCCAAGGACAAAACAGCATTGCTGCTACTCGTTTTTTCTTTATCACGACCAAACCAGTGACTTGGTTCCTCCTCTGGGTCATCCTTGCATCTACCCCATTTTGCAGAAAACACTCTAGAAAAGTTCACACAACACCCTAGAACCATCACATTGAAATGAAAATCATCTAATATTAAAGTACAAGCAAAATAATCACACGTTACGCAGAGATGTACACAGAACCATAACAAAGAAACGTCTCACTTGGTATTGGAAGAAGCGATCATATTCTTGCACATGCTTGTCACGGGGTGAAAGAGGGTTTGGCATAAGAGGCATTATTGTTTCCAGAAATGTTTACTGTCAGGCATTGCATATAACATGCTTTGTTAGCTTCTTTCCTTAAGAGAAGTCTGCTACAAGCCAAAGGAAGCTAATCTAAGGAATCTCCAGGAACAAAGGAAGCCCCAGTGTAATCCTGACCTACAGGTATTATTTACTATCAAATCTTTTGCACTGAATGAATAGGCAAACTAAAATTCTTTTATGTGATTTGTTTGTACCTGCATACATAGAAGGACCTGAGCTCAGGAAAGAGTCAAATAGGGTGCACATCAGGGGTGGGTTCTAATTTTTTTTACTATCGGTTCTGTGGGCGTGGCTTATTTTGTGGGCGTGGCTTGATGGTCATGTGACAATTATTTAGGATTTAGCAAAGGTACTGGTCTACCAGGCTTTTAACTGCTTGCAGAGCTGTACCGATCTACCCATTTATTTTTGCAGGCACTGGTCTACCCATTTATTTTTGCAGGCACTGATCTACTCATGTATTTTTGCAGGCACTGATCTACTCATGTATTTTTGCAGGCACCGGTCTATTCATTTGTTTTCTTTTAACACTGATCAGCTGTAGGGCAGCCCTTTGAAGCAAGAGTTTAAACAGTTTTTTTCCCCTCTAGCCATCAGCTGGGACTCAGGAGGAGCAATAGATTGGGGGTGGGGCCAAATAAAAGGTAAGAATAATGCGGGGGCTGGGCCGAACCGGTAGTGGTGACTTCAGGGGGGAAGGGGGGAGGGAGAGCTGCACCCGTTGAATGCCTGCCTGGCTCTTGGAAACCCTGGTGGGGAACAGAGGAAGGAGTGAGGGAATCCACTGGTGTCTCTGTGTGTGCTGATATTGTACGTTTATTAAACCGCTGAATAGCTGAAGGATTCTGGGTGGTTTAGTGATTTGGGCTGCCTTAGAAACCACAAAACGAATGACGAAAATAAAATTACCTCACCCAAAGGAAAATGGGTGTGTATGTCAAGAGCCAATTCTTTGAGGCAGCTTTCAGTAGGCAAGGACCCCAACCAGCTGCCTACAAGCCCCGGCGGAGGAGTGGATGAAAACTTGTAAAAAAAATTGGTTTATTTATTTATACAGGTAGTCCTCAATTTACAACAGTTCATTTAGTGACTGTTCAAAGTTACAACGGCCTTGACCATTTTTCACAGTTACAACCTTCGCAGCATCCCCATGGTCACGTCATTAAAATTCAGTTTTTAAGAAGAGATTAGCAGTCACTTATCTGAAATGGTATAGGCTCTCCATTTCCTAGTCGTGCAACTCAGCATATAATTATGCAAGCTACATGACCACAGAAATGTCTTCTGACAACACTTTAATGCATATATGGATCAACAACTAAGAAGAAAGATGTTGGGAGTCAATCTCTCCATTAATTCAGCCCCACCTTTTCTATAGTCTTTCACATCCTCACATGGGAGAGGGGTGCACAAGAGAAAGTGCGTGGAAGGAAGTGAGAAAGTCCTCACTTTCCTTACAAATCTTTTTATAGTGCCAGTTTCTGCTTCACTTTCTTCCTTTTTCAGGCAGTACTGCACTGGCCACTTCTTCCTCCTCCTAACTTGCCCCTACAACAGGGGTGAAATCCAGCAGGTTTTGACAGGTTCTGGAGAACCAGTAGCAGAAATTTTGAGCAGTTCGGAGAACTGGTAGTGGAAATTTTTAGTGGTTCGGAGAACTGGCAAATACCACCTCTGGCTGGCCCCAGAGTGGGGTGGGAATGGAGATTTTGCAATATACTTCCCCCAGGAGTAGGGAGGGAATGGAGATTTTGCAGTATCCTCCCCCTGCCACGCCCACCAAGCCACACCACACCCACTAAGCCATGCTCACAGAACCGACAGTAAAAAAAAATTGGATTTCACAACTGCTCTATAAGCTTGTTATCTCTCTTTGTTGGGCAATGTTTTGGTAACCCAGTATTCTCTTCTCCCTATACAACTAAGATTGTGCTAAAAGGGTGGGGCAGTATTAGATTTATCATCACCAGATTAGCATCAGCAGGGCTGCAAGATAAATTTATACTTTTGTGATCCTGTTGTTTTCTATTAAATTCACCGTCTCCACTGTGCAGAAATTCATAGTTGTAAAAATCCTTGCCAGCTTCTCCAACATTAAACTCTACGGAGCCTTTGATTTGATTTCCTCAAGCTATTATTCAGATTGCCCATTCCTATTATTTCGTTGGCTTTAGGGATTTTGCTAGCCTGCTTGTTGACAGATTGCTCCAACACAGCAACATCTAAATGCTGTATGATAACATTGACTGCCTAAGGAGCCAGGGTGTCTCTTTCAAGTCAAAATGTTCAATATTCTGGGAGGAAAATTTGACATTAGCATATTTCTTGCACAATTGACCTCAGCATGGAAGGAGGCTATAGCAACTGATATTGCACACCTTCTGACAGAAGTGAGGGCGCTGGCCTAACTGCAATATTTAAAACATTGCCTCATTAACAAGGGGGAAGGGGGGTTAACATGAAGAAGCCGCTTCTATGGCAATCTGGTGGTAGACGTTATCCATTCATCCTGGACATGTTAATTTAATCTGGGCAGTTGCCTGTGATCTAGAAAGTATGGTGAATTCTAATAGGTTACAACCCTGAATATCATTGACTGTGTACATGAAAGAATTGTGAACATTTTCTAGGCATAAAGCCATGCAGGATGCTGGCTAGCGAATGCAACAACACTTTTGTCCTTTAGGTTATGGAACCTATAAAACATTTTTAAAATGACACATGTGTCGTATCTCAAAGGAACTCCTATTTACTCCATTCTTTCTCCTTTGTTGCTTCTGCTCCAGCTGTTTCTGTGTCTTTTGATCAGCTGCAAGAAGTCACAGGTGAGTCACATTTCATCTTTTTATAACTGCCATCTTGTTTGCTTTATATATTTATATATAATAAGATGCTCTCCTGAAGTAGAAAAGAAGAAGAAAAAAGAGAGGCAAGGATCAGAACCAATCCCCTGGCAGTGGCCTGGCACTGCAGGTTGCCAGCAAAATCCACTTTAATGGAAACAGACATTGATTGAGCATGCAATCAATTGTGCTCCATGAATTCAAGTAATATTGGTGCCAAGGTTTCTGATAGGTTGCTGTTTTAATGATGATCTCACCGTACTCATTTCCAGAAAGCAGCATGGATAAAAGTTGTACCTCTAATACAACTTTTGGTCAATCAAGCAGAAATTCTGCTCAATCAAGTAGGAAACAACTCTCTAATCAAGGAACTACCAAGGGAAAAAAACCACATCTCCATCAACACTGGCAAGTCAAGCTACTGCTTATAAATGGGGAGCAAATGCCAAACTCCCTAGCACTGATGATGTTACCTAATTGGGTAATGAAACATCTGCAAGCAAGCAAGCAAGCTCAGACAGCACCAAGGACTCTACTATTGTATCTCTCAATGCACACCTTTCATTGTACTGCACAATATGATTGAATATGATTCACACTAGTTTTGGAGAAAAGCAAATAAAGATAAATGGTTTCGTAGTCCAACGTAGATGCCCTTATTTTCACTTACCAAATTCTATGCTCTTCAGTGTTCTGTACCAAAATGAACTGCTTCAGTGAAACTTGATCTCTTCAGGGCGCTGATGACTGAGATATTTCTTCTTGCTTTCAATATTAGAAAAGTCATTTAAAACTCATTAGCCTAAACAATGTCAAGAGATTTTTTAAAAAAAAAAAAAAGTTTCAGAAAATGTACTAACAGTAATTAATTCTAAGTCTTAAATAATGGCAGTAAAATTTGTACCTAATGATACTCGTTTGTATTAAAATGCTTTTGCAGCTACATAGTTGCAACAAAAGTCACTGTCTTATCTAAGGTGTTCTATTTTCAAATCAATCTAGATTCATGAGAAATGATGAAGTATTCTACTTTTTGCACCCAGATTTTTGAAGTGTTGGAACTTCCTATACTGTTGAAGATCACTTTAGAAAATTACATATCTATTGTGAAAATTAATGGTGTGCATTACATAGCAAATGTTGAGTCTCCATCCACGAAATACAACTGCAACTTGTCCAAAACAGAATTTTGAATTTGCAATGTATTCTGAATGGGAATGATCACATAATTGATTTGAAGTAGAGTCAGGGGAATGAAATATTAATAATCTTATAGTCAATCCCCAATATGCCTGAAATCTCCACTGCAAATAAAACATCTGCAAACAAACAAACAAGTTCAGGGAGCACCAAGAACTCCACAGTTCAATTGTTCATGTAAACAACAGTTCCACAGTTGTTTACATGAAAAGAAGGAAACCTAAAATTTAAGATATCTACCCCAATAAGAATATATTTGAAGAAAAGAGAAAAAAAGAAACACACACAACAAAGTACAGTGGAATTTCCCCACTTTTTTCAAATTGCAGAAGAGCACTCCAATTAAAATTGATTCAGTAGATTTCTCCAGTCACCCATAAAAGTATATATGTAGCGCATATTGGAAAAATTACTATGTGCAATTTCCAGTTTGTTTTGCCTGCAGCACATTCCCAGTCAATGCTTACATCTAGATCAGAATGTTGCAGGAAAAGAAACAGGACCAGGCCAAGCTCTTCAATGCAGGAAAGAGTTTATTGTGCACGGTTCAAACAGCCCAAAGGCAAACAAAAAGTCTGAACACCGAGGGGTCCTTCATGACAAGTATTTATACAATCCAATTGCATATGCATATCAGGGAGCGTTACATTTAACACATAGGAACTAACCTCCATCAGTTTGCAAGGATCAAAGAGGAGAGGAAATAATAAACACCCACTAACACATTCATGTTCTCTGGTCAGTGTCTCAAGACAAAACATAAGAAGATAAGGGACTGGAAGACGCCTCAAGGGTAATAAAGGAAGCAGCATTTGTTATCCGGGGATATACATGACATTTGGGGTACAATAAACAGTGAGTAACAGGATGCATCTGTTTTGGGTCATTTTACCCTTTTACAGATAAGTACCTTCGTCAATCCAGCAACCTTTTATCGGCACGGAAGAGGAACTTCAGCCTTGGCCAAAGTTTTAGGACATTAATATTAGAAGTTTAGCCAATATCAGAATTTGGTCTGCCTCAAGAACAAGCACATAAAATAGTTAACTGGAAAACTGGAGCAAAAGGCAGGCAAAAGAAATGAACAATGGGCAACAGTTGATTTGATCTACACAGGTACTCCCTGGGTTAAGAACATCTGCCCTTCCAAAATCTTTAATCCTAATAATTATTAAGAATTCAGAGTCCCTTTCAAGTGAGGTAAAGCATCATTCTATTTGGATGGATATTTGGATATTTAACATTACTCTTAACATTTAACATTTGTGTCTGTAAACATACTTTTGATGGGACAAATTCAGATATGGACACTCCTGTTCAGCTGAGGCATCAGAACTAATTGTAATATTTGCATAAATTTAGGGAATTGTTTTTTCACTGCTTTCTGTCTCCACAAAGCTGATCTCATATGTGGTCCCAAAAATCCAAAGAATGTTATTATAAAAGAAGAAAAAAAAAAGAATAAGATCATTTTAAACGTTTGCCACATTTCTCATATTTATCAATTTTCTGAAAACTATTCATCTGGAGCAATTAATATACTCACTTTAGAATGCAACAGAAATAGAAGTAACCAGACAAACAATGAAGATGCTTTGAATGTATGAACAAATGACAATAAAATTTCAAAAGTTTATTATTGTGAAGTCCTATGACTTAGCCATAAGTTTATTTTGTTCTATCAAAATTTAATAGCTCGATTTAACTTTGTATTAGTCTCCAATTATTTTTGAGCTACATTCATATCCTTTTTTTTATCAAACAGAATTGGAGTCCACAGCCTCCACTAATGTGAAGTGATTAAACCTATAATGAGTGATTACTTTCATATAAACCTCCATGACACGCATTAATTTAAGATTCCCTGAAGTATAGATAATGCTGTAAAATTTCTGTCCTTTCTTAGAAGGAGCTGAGTCAGTTCTGAGCTTAACTTTATTATGCTGTTAGATTTATAAAGAGGACACCACCAAAAAACAATGAATTTTCTAGAAATTTTATCATTTACCCAAGAACAGTAACAACTTATAAATTATTCTCTCTAAACTGTTTAACTTTTGGTTTTCCTGCATTTACAACAACAGTGACCATGGTAGGAGGAATTGAAGCCAGGCGTTATACAGACAGTAAAAATTGAAAGAATTGAATCTAATTCCTTATGTTTTTGTTGTAGTGATCCCAATTAAAAATACTGAGGTCTAAAACCAAAGTTCTAACTTCTTAAATCCCACTCATTTACTTGTATCAAACTTGTGAATTACACTGCGAATTCAGCAGGGTCATGCCAAGTTTGTTGATTAGCAAGTACTGTTATTTATCTGCAGTGAGAATCTGTCATTAGCTTTTTATTCCATTAAAGAGTTGGTCTATTTTTTTTTTCTAAACATGTCAGTTACTGGGATTTACTTGAATCCCTGACACCAGCTTAATTTGCAAAATCACTGTTTATTAAGAAGAGGGTTTTCAAGACAGCTTGGGAGACCCAGAGGGAACCTCAAAGCCCCCGTTATTAAAACCTGATGAATCTCTTTATTAGAATAATTATTTATACTTGAGCAAAATGCTTTTATGGATGTGCTGCCAAATTTAATGGGTCAAGGTGTAAGAAGAGCAAGGTCAACAGAGTTAACATAATTCTGTTATATTTCCTAAGATTAGTTAATAAATCCTGCTTATTTTGCTCCATGCAACTGGTGTTTTTGACTTTCCTCAGGCAAACACTTAAGGGGACGAGTAGCTTGGCTTGATATGGAAGAGCAACCAGATAATGACCACCATATCAATTGAGACTGATTATGAAAGTTTGGCCATCTGAATTATTCAATTCTATTTTGTTAAGCCTCTAAGTCAGGGGTGTCAAAATGGCAGCCCACGGGCCGGATGCATCACGCACCGGCCCTGCCCAACCGAGCTCTGTGAAGGGAAAAATGTTGTGATACATCATGTGATGGCAACGTGACACCACAAGTTTGACACCCGTGCTCTAAATCCTTTGTTAAAACCCAATCCTGCATAACATTTTTTTCAAACTATGAGTTATATTTAATCTTTTGAGCTTCATATGTGAAGATTGAACTTCAAAAAAAAATGTATTACTTAAACTTAGATAAATAATAGCATTTCTCCATTTATCTGTTTTTCCTCTCATAATAGATCAATTTGATGAGAGTTTGAAAAGCTTTTACATAACCAGGTAAACTGCAGATAGAAAGCCTTATGTTCCTTTAAAAGGAACAAATTGCATAGCTTTCATTATTTTTCATATTCTTGTTTGCTCCTGTTTTGCCATATTTTCTAGCAAACCTTTCTCAGAAAATACTTTGTGTTCTATGAGTATCTAACTCATTTTCTTGAACATATCCATTTGAAATGCCTTCTTTCATCTGGAATGGCTGTTCACATATCCTTACTACTGTACAAGGGTATCCACAGCACTTTCAGGTTGGTTGTCACATTCATCCAATCAGATGTTGGGTCTTTTGCAATGGTGGGATTCAGCCAGTTCGCAGCACTTCGGGAGAACCGGTTGTTAACTTTCTGAACAGTTTGGTGAAGTTGTTGGAAGAAATCATTAGGGCAGAGAACCGGTTGTTAAATTATTTGAATCCCACCACTGGTCGTTTGTATGTGTAACCGCCAACCTTACTGGCTCTATTATTCCAGTTTCATGATTGAGCCCATTTGAAGCAACCATCAAGTACTGTACCTACGGTAGGTGTGATGAAATGACTGAAGACCCTGGGAAAGTGGAGGACGGAACTCCACAGTAGGAGGAGAAAGCAGAGCTATTACAGAAAAGATTCTTGAAATCAGGGAAGGGAGGTGCTGCATCCAGGCTCCACTCCAGTTTACAGACGCAGCCACGCTCTGATTGGCTGTTTCAATTCAGGTACGAGCATATAAGGAGCTGTAAAAGTGTTGACAGCTGCTGCTCCTGTTAGCCGAGCAGCTTAGCTGGCCGCAATGCTAGCAAACCTGTTAAAACGCATGTTAGAGAAATAAACCTGTTAGCTTTTACCTCAACCTGTCTTGCCTCAGTCTGTTCGTCCCTTACAGGGTCATAACAGGAGAAAATTTGAAAAAAGGGACTCGAATAATCTAATTACACTAGGCATAAGTTCCTTGGGAAGCCTTCAAGATTCTACTACATTCTTTTTCTAGTACAGGTATTTCTTTATTTATGACCACAATTGAGCCCAAGATTTCTGTTGTTAAGTGAAACATCTGTTAAGTGAGTTTTGCCTCATTCTACAACTTTTCTTGCTATAATTGTTAAGTAATCACTGCAGTTCTCAAATTAGTAACACAGCTGTCAAGTGAATCTGGCTTCTCCATTAAGTTTGCTTGTCAAAAGGTCACAAAAGATGATCACATGACCCTGGGACACTGCAATAGTCATAAACATGAGTCAGTTGCCAAGCATCTGAATTTTGATCACGTGACCATGCAGATGCTGCAATGGTTGTAAGTGTGAAAAATGGTCACTTTTTTCTGTGCCTTTGTAA